GGGAAAGGGGTAGCAAGACAATGGGGACAATGTGGGACAGAGAGAGACAGAGGGGACAGGCTGGGTGGTGGCCCAGGGCTTAGGGACCCCTCCTCACAACCCCAGTCTGTCCCTGCCAGCAGCTCTGGCTCCCCGATGTCACCCTGTCCCCAATGCCACCATGCCCCTCATGTCCCCCTCAGCCTGCCGAGCGCTGGTGGACGAACTGGAGTGGGAAATCGCCCAGGTGGACCCCAGAAAAACCATCCAGATGGGTTCATTCCGCATCAACCCCGACGGCAGCCAGTCCGTGGTGGAGGTGAGACCCCTCCGGCCGTCCCCACCGTCCGTCCCCACCGTCCGTCCCACGCCGGGGTGACCCCGCTGACCGCTGCCCCGGTGGCCGTAGGTGCCGTACGCCCGTTCTGAGGCGCATCTGACGGAGCTGCTGGAACGAGTGTGCGAGAAAATGAAGGAGTACGGAGAGAAATTGGACCCAGGCACGCAGCGCAAGAGCTACGTGCGTGTCATCTCCCACGACGGCACCAAAATGGACCTGGCCGGAGTCAAATTCGACGGGGACGTCACCGCCAGCCTCAAGTTTGCGGTGGGTGCGGGGTGGGGGAGGTGCTGGGGGGGGTGGGTGGGTGTCACCGGTGTCATTGGTGTCACCGGGGCTGTGTCACCCTGCTGCAGTGTGAGAGCATCGCTGAGGAATACGAGGATGAGCTGATCGAGTTTCTGTCGCACGAGGCTGAAAATGTCAAGGACCGGCTGTGCAGCAAGAGGACGGGTGAGCACGGGGGTAATGGGGTGGGATTGATGGGGTGGGATTTATGGGATGGATTAGGATGGGATCCGTGAGATGGGGTGGGATGGGATGGAATGGGATTTATGGGATAGGATCTATGGGGTGGGATTTATGGGATGGGTTGGGATGGGATGGGATCCTTGAGATGGGATGGGGTGGGATTGATGGGATGGGATTTATGGGGTGTATTAGGATGGGATCCATGGGATGGGGTGGGATGGGATCCATGGGATTTATGGGATGGATTGGGATGGGATGGGATCCTTGGGATGGGATGGGATCCATGGGATGGGATGGGGTGGGATGGGATGAGATGGGATGGGATTTATGGGATAGGATTATGGGATGGGATGGGGTGGGGTGGGATTTATGGGATGGATTGGGATGGGATGGGATCCTTGGGATGGGATGGGATGAGATCCCATCAGACCCAGAGCCAGTTCTGTCCCTGGAGCTCCCCTGATGTCCCAGGGGTCTCTCCCGCTGTCCCTGGGGTCTCTCCTGCTGTCCCTGGGGTCTCTCCCGCTGTCCCTGGGGTCTCTCCCGCTGTCCCTGGGGTCTCTCCTGCTGTCTCTGGGGGTCTCTCCCGCTGTCCCTGGGGTCTCTCCCGCTGTCCCAGTAGCCGTGGCTGCTCCCTCTTGCTGGGATGGGATTTTCAGCCGGCCCCAAGCGGGGAGGAGCCGCGAGTTGTCCCCAAATCCCATCACCCCGTCCCATCCCGGGGCTGGCGCTGCGGGAGGGGTTTTTTTGGGATGCTGGGGCCGAGCCAGCACAGTTGCTGTGGCCTCTCCTGGCACAGCCCACGGCCCTGGCCCCGTCCCGGGGCTATTTCCAGCTCRCAAACAGCCAGGTCAGGGCACGAGGTGACCTTTGGGCCACTCCAGTGCCGGACGGGGCCCCAGACGGGGCTGGGACAGGTCCCTTTGTGCCTGGCACAGGGAAATTCTCCTGTGCAGGGGATCCTGAGGGGCTCCGTGGTGGCTTCTCCTGTGTCCAGTGGCCACAGGGGCCAGAGTTGGGTTGGTGGCTCTGTCCAAACGGCCACATTTGTCATCAACCACAGGACAAAGCCGGGGAAGTGCCACTAGCCCTGGCTTAGGTCACAGCAGGGACCGGTCCTGGTGCCAGGGCAGGAGGGGACAGGGCACCGTGGAGGGTCCCCAAGGGCTGTGACATGTCCTGAGTGTCCCCAAGGGCTCTGCCATGTCCTGGGACTCCCATGGGGCTCTGCCACTGAGGGTCCCCAAGGGCTCTGTCGTGTCCTGAGTGTCCCCCAGGGCTCTGCCACATCCTAAATGTCCCCCTGTGTCCCCACAGACCTGTGTGACCACGCCCTCCACATCCCACACGACGAGCTGTGACAGCCTCCAGAGCAGGGACGGTGCCAGGAGCCACCAGGATGTCACCAGGATGTCACCAGGATGTCACTGGGATGCCCAGACCCTCCGGGAACCCCGGAGCCGCCGCCTCACCCCGTCCAGAGTCCCTGTCCTAATTTATTCCCCATCCGGGGACACCGGGACGGCCACGGGGCCGTGTCCTCGCTCTCACAGGGACATTTCAGGGACATTCCTGCCCCGTGCCGGGGATGCGAGGGGACACTGGGGGACACCGGGACTCGGTCCCCCCGGGGAGGGGGTTTGGGGACACCCCCACCCCGCTGCAGGCAATAAAGGGGCCATGGGCCCACCCCAGGGCAGCTCTGCTCCCGTGTGCACATGGGCTGGGGGACAGCGCTGTCCCCACGTGTCCCCTGGTGGCGGTGGTCACCTCATGGGACAGCTCTGTGTCACCATGGGGGTCACCTCTGTGTCACCCCAATGAGGGGGTTCTGGCCCTCAGCTGTCACCCTGTGTCGCCCAGTGTTGTCCCATCATTGAGATGGCTCCGTGGGCGTTCTGGCCCCTCTGCTGTGTCACTCCATGTCACCCTGTGTCACCTCATGTCATCCCTTCGTGGCGATGCTGGCCTCTGGTGTGTCACCCCATGTCACCTGGCCAGGTTGCAGAAACACCAGGAGGGGTTGGCAGCGGTCCCCCTGTGTCACCTTGTGTCACCCATTGCACCGGGGCCACTGGGACAATGCCCCGGGGTCACTGGGGGACGGTGACACGCCACCCGCTGATGTCACCGCCCAACCAGGGTCGTGCCACAGCAAATCGCCTTGAGCCACTGTGGCCACGTGCAGGGTGACATCACGGTGACATCATACCGCGCGGTGTGGCGCGCCTGGTGACGTCACGGGGCTGCCCCACCCCCCCACCGAGGCACCGGGGATGACACGGGGCCGTGACGTCACGCCCCGCGGCCGGTGACGCCACGACACGGGGCGGGCACCCCCTCACCCCACCCCCGGTCCTGATCAGGCGAACGCGGCGGCCACCTATGGCTCGCGCCCCCCGCCGCCTCATTAGCATGGCCCCGCCCCGGGGCGCGCCGCTCGGCCAATAGCGAGCGGCTCTGCCCAKAGRRGGGCGGGGTTATGCTAATGACCAGCGCCGCGCGCCGTCCCGCCCTCACGCTGAGGACCCCCGGCCGCCGCCGCTCCGGCCCCGCTCCCGCCCCGATCCCGATCCCGGTCCCGGCCCCGCTCCCGGCCCGGCCCCGCTCTGTCCCGGCCTGTCCCGTCCCGGTGCCGCCATGACGCTCCTCGCCGCCGGCAGCCGGGCGGCCGCGCGCCTCCGCGGGCCCAAGGTGAGCGCGCCCGGCCCGGCGCGGCCTCGCCGTGCCTTAAAGGGGCGACGCCGCGGGGGGAAGGGAGGGCGGGGGGTTCCGGTTCTTAAAGGGGCGACGCGGGGGGCGCTGCCTTAAAGGGACCGCGCGGTGGCAGCGGAGGAGGGGGGATGGGACCGGGGGGGGACCGGGATGGCCATGGGGACCGGCACCGGGGTGGGCGCGGGGCCGCAGCGGCAGCATGTGGTGGGAACCGGCGCTCCCGGCGCGGCCTTGTCACAGCCGGGGGCACCGGGAGCGGCTCGGGGAGCTCCGGGACCGAGCCGCTCTCGGGGGGCTCCGCCGCTCTCCCAGCCCCATCCGGGGGTCCCCGCTCTGGGGGCTCCGGTCCCGCCGCCCAAACCCCCGGTGTGCGGCTTATGAGGGTCCCCGGTGCCCCCCGAGAGCCCCGCACCGGCCCCGGGAGCCCCCGCCCGGCGGCACCGGCAGTGGGAGGGTGGAGGCGGGGATCCCCCGCTGCCGCCGCCGCCCTTCCCGGGCGTCCCGGTGCCGTAGAGGACAACGGGGTCACAGCGAGGGGGGACCCCCGTGCGGGCCGAGCGCCGGTACCGGGCCGGAGCGGCCTCGTCCGCCCCTCGGGTGTGTTTGCCTTGGCCGCGGCCCCGGCGTTTCGTAACGGGCGTCGCGGTGTCTTTATCGCCCGGGCGATATTTTGGGCTATTCCTGTTGCCCCACTTGGCCCTGCTCACCCCGGGCACCGGGGGCACCGGGACCGCCCCGCCGGGCCGAGCCCTGACCGACCCCCGATCCTCCCCCTCGTCCCGAACCGGGGACCCCGAACCGGGGACCCCCCGCCCCCCGAACGCAACGGGAGCYCCCGGAGGGTCCCCCCGCAGCCGGTGCCCGGTGCCACCGCCTACACGTGTGACCTTGAGCCGGTGGCACCTCGGTGACAGCGGGGACGAGCCGTGGGGACCCCCGGAGCGGGGTGACACCGGGGGTGACACCGGGGGTGACACTCGGGCGAGGGAGGGGCCCCCGCGGCGGCGACAGCGGCCGCCTTGACCTTGGGCTTCCCGCCGCCGCCTCCATTGTTCCGCCGGCATTTTCCCTTCCCGGAGCCGCCTGTTGCGGGGGGACGCGGCCCCGCCACCCGCCGCGGCCACGCCCGGGCTACCGGGGACCCCCCTGGCCGGGCCGGGGGCTTTCGGGGGACCGGGGGACACCGGGGGGGTTCTGTGCGRCGCGGCCCCCCCGCCTTCCCCCCGCGTCCTCCCGGCAGCCAGTGGAAAAAACGAGTCATGTTCTGGCAATGCCGCAGGCGCTGCCGCAGCAGCTCCCGGCCACGGGGAGCCTCGGGGTGTCCCCGTGGCTGTCACCCCCGGTACGGCGTCCCCCGGTGTGCCCCGGTGTCCCCCGGTGTTCCCAGCGGTGTGTTCCCGGTGTGTCCCCGCCGGCCCGAGTGGCCGCGGTTGGCGGTTCCCACGCGTGGGCGAGGAACAAAGTTCGGATTCCCCGGCTCAGGAAAACCGCGGCCGTGGCTGGTCGGGCTGGGCTCCAGGAGGGAGAGAGAGAATTCCCAGCGCCGGGGCCGCCGAGGGCAGCGCGGGGCCGGCCCGGCTGATCCACCGCTGATCCGCGTGGGCGACGGGAGCGGCTCCGGACACCGCCGGACACGGCGTCCTTGGGAACCGGGGGGGCTCCGGGGCTTGGGGAGGGTCCAGGGCTTAGGGGGGGTCCCCAAAATGAGGTTCTGCCCCGGTGATGAGGGGTCACTTTGTCCCTTTTCCTGCAGAATGCACCGTGTGTCCTCTTTGCTGCTCGCCACGCCAGCGCGGCCACGGTAAGGGGGGCCCTGTCCTGTCACC